CGCTGCTTCCGCTACTACTCCCTCCCGGAGGACTGGGAGGAGGCCCATGCGGACACCAGCCAGTCTGAAGCCACTGACACGGAGGGCTCGTCGACCGACGACGATGTTTACCCCATGGTACAACTTGGCTTTCGGTCCCGCCACTCCGGGATGGTGGAGGCAAACCTTCATTGGGACGTCTTAACCCTCCCTACCGTCCCCTTTCCAGTCTGCACCAGGTGGGACATCACCTACTCTCCTTGGTGCTGCCGTGGACGCCAAGGCTGTGGACTTCTCTGGCGGCAGGGGACAAGGCACACCCCTTCACGAAGCAGGACCTTTCACAAGTCCGGGGGGTCCTGGGGCTCGTGGAGGTCCATGGAGTTGATGAGGGACAACCTTTCCATCTCAACCTGCTCCATCATCTCCTTCGGGCAGGTCAAGATCCCGACTCGGAGTATCCGCTTCTCCTTCGTGAAGGTGTTCGCTTAGGTGTGACGGAGCCCACCCTGACCTCCCCGGGCATTTGGCCTACGAAGGAGGAGTTGGCAGGGGAGCCTCAGGAGACTCATGAACTCCCTCCACCACAGGGTCGTTGCAACTACCCCTCTGCAGAGCCCTTTCAGGCGGAGATCGAAGCCACCTTTTGGGAAGAGCGGGATCTCGGCATGGTGGAGGGACCCTTCGCGGCCGCGCGCTGTGGCTGCACGCCCTCTGACCTCTGTCCCGGTCCCTTGGCCGGCATCGATGAGACTGACAAGATCCGCACCATCTACGATGGCTCCGTGGGTGGGGCCAACCTTCAGCAGCACACCGTGGAGAGAACTACAGCACCTATGGTGGCGGACTGTCTGCGGCGGCCAGGGAGGCCCCTTTCCCCTCCCGGGGCTCCACGGGTGCCGTGGGCCCCGAGATGGGACCGGGGGTGGAACAGCTGGTACAGCAGGGACCGGGCCTCTCCGTTGCTCCATGCCCTCTGGGCGACCACGCAACTCCATGCCCGGGTGCCGTGGGCCCCGAATGGACGGACCTCGTGGACCCAGGGGTGACGGCGCCAGCGACTTGGCGCTGGCCCACCTCAGCCGATGACACCCTCCTCCTCAAGGCGGATGTTACTAACATCGCCGCATCAAGGTGCTGTGCACGGACTGGCGGTTCCAGGTGGCGCATTGGGCCCCGCTGGTGGGTGAACAAGGTGGGCACCTACGGCATGGCCAGCGCCCAACTTTACTGGGGCCGCTTGGCCGCGGCGTTGCTACGCCTGCTCTACATGCTCTTTCCACAGGTGGACTGGGGCCTGGTCTTTGTCGATGACTTCTGTTGGTTGCTGAGGAGAAGCTCCCCGGAGTTGGCCACTGCACTACTGGCCACTCTCCTCGCGTTAGGGACTCCGCTGTCCTGGAAAAAGACCGTAGCAGCCCCGGTCAATACCTGGCTGGGGTTTGTAGTGGACCCATCGGTCCCTTCGTCGTCATGGCCAAGCAGAAGTTCGACTTGGTTATGGACATCTTGCAGAGACTCCAATTGGGCGAGACTTTCTCCGCCAATCTCGGCGTGCCCCATGGCCCGAGCCTTTCTCCAGGTTTTTTGGGTTTGGAAGGAGGCGGTTGTCAGTGCTGGGAAGCCTCCCAAGCTGGTCTGGGCCTTGGCGCTCCTTCTGGAGACCCTCTTTAAGGACAGGCTCCCCATTCCCTCGCCCTTTACCCCAGCAAGCCCGTGGTATGGCGCTTCGGATGCTAGCGCCAGCTGTGGCGCAGACCATGCCTGGGTTGGCGGCTGGTGCTCCTGCCACCCAGACCCTTCCAAGTCAGATGTGTGGTGGTTCCAGTACAAGGTTACCAATGGGCTTTTTTCACGGGGATCCTCAGCGCTGCATAGCGGCTCTGGAGCTGCTGGGGCTGCTCCTACTGATCGACCTGGTCCACCACTGCTGCGGTGACCTACGAGGCAGACGCCTGAGGGTCGCTAGTGATAACCAGGGTAATGTTTTTTCCCTACTGGACGGCTCGGCGCGTAAAACGCCGTCAGCCTTCCTGCTTATGGAGATTGTAGCAAAGCTACAGGCTCTTGGGGGGACGCTTTCCCCCACTCATGTTAGGCGGGAGTTCAACGAGTGGGCAGATGAGCTCACTCATCCGTCTCCCGACTTTAATCCTTCTTGGCAGGTACTGGTTGAGCCTCGCTGGCTTCTGGGGTGTGGGGGCCGGCGTGAGTTCTGGCCCCACACACCATGCATCAGTTCAGCAGACCTGGAGGGCTGCTGCCCAAACTGGCACCTAACCTCTCACTCTCGACAAAAAGAAAAGGGGGCTGCTTGCTGTACCCTGTTTGTCCCCCCTCTTCCGTAGCCCCAAGGAAGCCTTTGGGAACACTGCCCGAAAAAAGACAAGCTCATTCCCTTATGGAAATCTGTAGGATGTGGAGAGTTCACGTGATTCGTTTGCTTTGGCACTGAGGTCGTGGATGACTTCCTGCGAGTTGCCCCAGGGGTTTTCTGCTTCTTGGCAAAAGCACTGGGCTCCGGAGTGTTTCTTTCAAATCCGACCTCGCTCGACATATGATTGGGAGTGTCGTTTTTTCAGGGCACCCCCCAAAAGTTGTGGTTTTTCCTTTTGGTTGCCCTTTTAATCCCGCAAACAAGGGGCAACCTCAAAAAAGTCCCCATGTGAGGCTCTTAGAGTTCACTTGGAGCGTCAAAATAGGCTTGAAGCCACCCCTCGAACCCTTAATTGGTAGTCTGGATTGGTGGTTGGATTTGAACCCATCTGGTGGAAGGTACGTGGGAAGCTACCCTGGAACACCTCCACACCAATCCAAATGGCCAATTACAGAGCTGAAGAATAGGGTGCTTCACTGTTGTTGGCTTTTTTTGGGTGTTTTGCTCTGTTCATTTGTGGAAGGGGGCTGCAAACATCACAGCTTATTGTTACCATACCAAGGGTTGGACAGGTAGGGTATCCTCAACTCCTGTCCCAGCTAAGGCTTGGGTGACGTCTCTGCTGGCTCGCCGCCTACGGGACAGGTCGCAGTATGCCCAGCTGGTGGAAGGTCTGTAGTTTTGAGGAGTTTGACAGTGATATGTGGCAATGGTCAAAACCCCGTACCCCCAGCCAGTGAACATCCCAATCCCCACTAAAATAGACTAAAATGGGTGGTGCTCTTACCCCAAAATGGTAGCATTGGTGTTGACCCACGGCCAAATGTGGCCATGGTCAAGAGACCCCCATACTTGACCAAGATGCCAAGGCAATGCAGCAGGCGGAAAGTGCTGCCTGGAACATTTACGCGCAGCTGTCCAGGTTGCAGGGTGCCCAGCCTTTTTGCGTCCGGACAGTTTCTGTTGGCCCAGGTGCGTGCAGTCTTTCCAACTGAACCTTTTTGTTTGGTACTTGTCAGTCCTATTACCACGATTAGCTTGGTCTCGCCGTTGAATGCATTGAGCTGAAGATCCTTTGCCCATTCTCAGACAACCCTCAGTCGAGGTTTGCGTTAGACATTATCCCAATGAAGAACACCATCCCAAATGAGGGCGACAGGCTGAAGCACCTGGTTCTACCAATCAAGATGCGCGAGAGGATGGTCCAGTAGCTTAATATAGTATGATCGTTCTTGGAGAGATACACTAAGCAAATGGCTGGCAAATAGACACGCTGCGTGCGCAATCCATTTTGAAGCAGTTGCTCCAAAATCGGTTCTTCCAGCGCCTTAAACTGGACTTATTTTCGAGTTTGGGCGCAGGCTGGCTTGTCGGAGCCTTTCAGCGTACGCTGCTTGTCGCACCCGTTTGCGCATCTTTCGCCCCCCTATGGAACAGGTTCGCGGCAAATCGAACTTCTGCCGCGCGAGCGCGCCGCCTCAGCCCTTGGCGAATGTGAGCGCTTCCCATGGGAAGTCCCCACTGGCGCCAATGTGTTTTCATTTCCCCTTCGGGACTTGCAACATGGCAGGTCAGCGCTTCGTACTGGAAAGCGTATGCTCCGACTCTTCCGGGTAAATTCCTCAAAGAGTAATAGGGCTGCTCAATGCTTTGATTCAATCAGCGCCGGCAACTGTCTTAGCACGTTGGTGATCCTTCCGCTTGGCAGTTGGATCGAGGAAAGGCAGCAAGAAAAGGCAGCGCAAGAAACACTCCACGTCCCCACCCATCCCTGATCTGCGTCATGTGGCGCCACGCAACCTCAAAGCACACACACGGGATCCATGCATCCATCCATCCATCCAGCCAGCCAGCCAGCCAGCCAGCCAGCCAGCCAGCCAGCCAGCCAGCCAGCCAGCCAGCCATCCATCCATCCATCCATCCATCCATCCATCCATCCATCCATCCATCCATCCATCCATCCATCCATCCATCCATCCATCCATCTACTATCTCCCACGTACCTACTCACCTACCACCGACCTCCTGTGCCTCCCTCTCCCTCGCTCCCCCCCTCCGTGCCCCCCTCTCCCTCCCATCCACATGTGCACAGTTGCATAGTCGAACGCCACGCCCTCGACATGTGCTTTCTACACTTCTGGGGCCGAGCACATTTGGCACGGGCGAGGATTGACTTTCCGCATTCCGGCGCACAAGTGGGTTTGCGGGTCTTTTTCACCTGCGCATGTGCGTGTTGAGATTATCGAGTATCCTTGTGCATGCACTGCCCAACGTCTTTGCGACGCGCATTTTCCAGTTTGTTCAAATCCGTCGGAGAATTGGGCAAGTTATGCTCCAAAGGCAGATCGGGCCAGTGGCAAAGAAAGCCGAACCAACCCCAAAAGGAGAAGTCCAGCCTGGGCAAACCAAGCTTGAAATCCAGATCGCATCGAATATCCTCAGGTCTAGACAGCTCCAGCCCAAAAGCATGCATGATTCGGGTCTGATTCAAAATCGGGTTTGACGCTGTTTGTGGGTTTTCTCTTGGTTTCCCCTTAAAACAGACGCACGCGTGGTTCAGCCCCTCTGGTTCAAACAAACCGCGGCTTAAGCCACCGTCGCCGTGAGGCCTCGTTTGGCTTGGCGCCGCTTCAAGCCCGCCGCCATGGGCGAGTTCATCGCCCTAGGCAGCACCCAAGCCGCCGCGGGCTAAATGAGCCGATCTCCCCTTTCAAGCGAAAAGGCAAGCCGGCCATGGGCAAACCCAAAGCAGGGATTGGAGTGGTCCATGACACGGCATGCGCACAAGATGAGCCAAACTGGCAATGCGAGCGTGGCTCTATGTGACATCATGTTCCAGGAGCCTCTGCACGTGGCTTCTGTCTAAGGAGCGGCATGGCTGGCTAGAAAGGTAAGTAGGTAGGTAGGTGGTTGGTTGGTTGGTTGGCTGGTTGGTTGGCTGGTTGGTTGGTTGGTTGGTAAGATCGGCTAGATAGAATAGATAGATTAGATAGTAGGCTAGATAGGGAAGGATAGGACAGATTTGACAGATTACATGAAGCTAGATTAGGTTAGGTTGGATGATATTGATTAGATTAGATTTGATTAGTTTAGGTACGTTTGGATAGGATTGCGTAGATACATGCATAGATGAACAGCCTAGACAGCCGAACAGATGAATCGCTGTACCGATAGATAATGGATTCCAAGATTAAGCAAACTAACCATCATGGCTTGCATAACCCCCTGAACCGCCACCCCCCCCTTCCAAAGCAAGACCGAATTAAGAGGACACATAAAATTAAGGCTTCATTAAGGCCTTATTAGTCCCTTATCAAGGCCTTATTCTGGCCTCAATTTGGCCCCAATATTAACTAGGAATTAAGGCCAAATTAAGACCAACTTTTGGGAAATTCACCCTTGTGGGCAAATTAAGGCCGAATTAAGCCAACAATGCAGACGTGCTAAATTCAATCACGATGTCCTGATTTACTGGTGCGTGCCTACGGTGTATTGAAATCAAGCCAAGCTACTGTAAAGGAGGCCAAATTCAGGCCAAATTAGCGCAAATGCCTATGGGATTTGGGTTCAAGCAAAATTAAGGTCAAATTAAGGTCAAATTAAGGCCAAATTAAGGCCAAATTAAGGCAAAATTAGCGCAACTGCCTATGGGATTTGGGTTCAAATCCTGCAAAACAAGGCCAAAATGCACCCAAGCCAAAATGCAGCAAACATATAGCACGAAATAAGGCAAGAGTAAGTTGGCAAACGCAAAGCCCAGGGAAGACTGAAAGTCTAGGGAATTTGAAGAGACAGAAACTGAAAGCCAACCTGAAGCAACATGAAATCCAATCGGCGGGCGGGTTGGCTACCGAGCGCCGATGGCTTCAGGCATGTTGCTTGAAAAATTAGCCCCTAATCTGCCCTAATCAGCCCTTATTTCTTTTTGGGGGGGTTCAAGGGGGGGGGGGTTGGAAACTATGAAACAAGTAATATCAAATAGATAGTAGATACGTCACCACATTACATTACGTTACATTGCATCATGCCACATCACATTGCATGACGCTGCATACCTTACAGACAATACAAACATTATATACATTACATACATTACATGCATTACGTGCATGCCATATGTTGCATACATTCAATACATCACATACCCTCCATAAATTACACAAACACATGCATGCATAGATACATAGAAACATGGATACATAGATACAGATATACATAGATACATAGACATATATATATACACATACCTACATACCTACATACAGCCATCCATCCATCCATCCAGCCATCCATACATACATTACATACATACATACATACCTACCTACCCACATACATACATACATTACATACATACATTACATTACATTACATCACATTACATTACATTACATTACATTGCATTGCGTTGCGTTGCATTGCATTACATTACATTACATTACATTACATTACATTACATACTTTACATACATACATACATACATACATACATACATACATACATACTTAATTACATTACATTACATTACATTACATTACATTACATTAGATTAGATTAGATTACATACATACATTACATGAACTTACCTTACCTTACCTTACCTTACATACATACATACATACATACATACATCCATCCATACATCCCATCCATACGTACATACATAGATACATACATACAGATACATATACATGCACACATACATACATACGTACATACATACATGCATACAGCCAGACAGACAGGCAGGCAGGCAGGCATGCAGTCAGACAGACAGACAGACACACATACCTACATACATAACACAACATAACATCACAAAGCATAGCATATCGTAACACAATATAACATGTACATAAATGCACATACATATACACACATGTCTATACTTGGACATACATATACATACACAAACACATACAGACGCATGCACACACATGCATACATATAGAGACATCCATCCATCCATCCATCAATCCATCCACCCGTCCGTCCATCCATCCATCCATCCAGCCAGCCAGCCAGCCAGCCAGCCATCCATACATGCATGCATACATACATGCATACACACATATACACACATATACACACATATACACACATATACACACATATGCATACACATACATACATATACATACACGCACATATACATTCACATATACACACACACATACATATACGTACATATACATACATATACATACGTATACATACATATACATACATACACATACATAAACACATATACAGACATACCGACATGCATACATACATACATACATACATACATACATACATACATACGTACGTACGTACGTACATACATACATACACACATACATACATAGATACATAGACACATAGGACACATGGGGAACGTTTCATGGATACATGCGTTCGCACATGCATAGATGCATTGGTACACACATACATAGGTGCATGGGATACATTGGGTACATAGACACATAGATACATAGGTACACATAGGTACACTGGATGCATAGATACATAGATACATGCGTGCACGCATGCATGCATATATATATATATATATATATTTATATGTATGTGTGTATATGTATATATATATATATGTAAATGCTTATCCACACATACAAATACATGTTTATAGCAGCCGAGGAGGCTCCGTAGGTCCTATCTCGGTGCTCGTAGCTCCGAGGCCGGCGTGGTGGAGCCGGGTCAGTTGGGCAACCTGCTGCCCCCAGCCTTGCCGCCCGCTGGGGCCCCGGGCCGAAAAGCCGGGCCGTCGGATTCCCCCCCCCACCCACTCGAGCGGGGGGGAGCAGGGGTGGCCAAAGGTAACGTGAGTTCAGTCAGACTTGGGTTGGTTGTTGGTTTGGTTCGTTTGTTCGTTCGTTCGGTTGGTTGGTTGTTTGGCTGTTTGGTTGGTTGGTTGGATGGATGGATGGATGGAAGGATGGTTGGTGTATTTACAGGCTTGGGCTGGCTTGGAGTCTTTGTTGTGGGGTTGGCTTAATATTTGCGTGGTTTAGCTTTGGTTTACGCAGCGATGTAAGTATCCACGTTTGTGTGCAAGCTCAATATGTGGGCCCCCCACCGGTGAGTCTGAGCATAGTAGCTTCAATGAGTTTGACGGTCCTTTTTTTCCAGCTCAACCAATGACAATTCAACATCTAGTCCATTGCTAAGCATGAATATTTTTACTGCCCGTGGCATATGCTGTTGTTTGTTGTGTTCGTGTTCAGTGGGCCAAGAAACCAAGGATCATGGCATCCAGGAAGTTCTGTTTGGCTGGTTCGTTTGCTGCAGCTCACGCAGGATCATTGGCAACTTTTGGGGCTGCAGCTTCCCCGCGTGCAGAAAGCATTGGACAGAAAGCGTGCCCAGGTCTCTTTCACTGAAATAGCCTAGGCATGGTCTGAAGGATCAGTAGTGAATCCCTTGGCCTTACCCAAACAAAGAACATTGGGCTATCCACTTTCACCCTGGTGTACCCGTTTGTGCACATCCATGGTTGGTCTGACCAATAAAGACCCCCTGTTGACGCCATGTGGCAAGCTGAGGCAATTGCCAGAGTGGCGTCGTCGGTGACGACTTCCGCTGGGAGCCCCAAATGACTTGTGTTTTGGCTTCCCTATGGCACCCTCAAAAAAGCGCATTGGGCGCCAACCGCCTGCGGGCATCTTGTCCATCTTAGGTTGGCGGAAAGATTGATGCGAAGGTGGACATCGGTGGAAGGTCTGGACCTCGGGCATTCCAGCCACTTTTTCCGCAAGAACGCGGACATCTTAAGCTCATTGGTGCCCGTTTTGGTTTGGTTCAAAATACCGGGCCCTGGGAAACTTGGTCGAGCCATCTACCAGGGCCCAGGCCCTATGCTTCACAATCACCTATGGTTTAGCTGTATGGAGCCCAGGCCAGCGGGGCTTTTGCGGCGCTTGGCATATCTGTACCGCCGCGGGCCAAGTGGGACTCGGTGCCCATGGGGATCTTTGAGATGGTTTCCACTAGCCCCAAGCCACTACCAGGACCCAAAAGAAATCGAACTGGGGTAGAGGTGGGGGTAGTGGTTTGGGCCGTTTGGGGGTGGTGGACACCATCTTAAAGTATTCACTTCCTCCATTGAACCCACCAAAAGTTAAACCTTTTGCAGAGGGGTCAACAGCAACCAAGCTCAGGCAGCAAAGGTGAAGCGGCAAGAGTCTGTGCTCGGTTTGCCGGTTGCGAGGCTTACCTGGATTGAAGCATCGGCTGCGCGTGGCGGAACAATGGTTGGAGCGTTCCTCCAGGGCCAGTGGAGATATCTCTTCCAACGTACTGCCTGGCCTCTGATGGGGATGTGCCATATTCCATTACCTGGCAAAGTCTATCGGCTGACGGCGCCGTGCGCAAGCCAAGCCTCAACCGGGCCAGGGATTTGCCATTCTCGCTGTGAAGCGACTTTTCCGGTACACCCTGCGCAGGGAGTGCTGCCAACTGTTTAGATTTTCAGTGCGACGCGGCACCCGGGCTGCCTGAAATGTGGGTGCGGGACTGCTAGCAAGAGCAAAATGTGAGAAGGGACATTGCAGGGCCCTTGCAGAAAGTCGGCGCACTTTGTGGAAAGCCCATGGTCAAAAGACGCCTTTACTAGGATAGGGGGTTGGTCCGGATTCAACCTCTTAGTAGGAACTCTAGCCAACCATGATATTGTGGTGAGTGACAATCATTCACATTGAAACCCAACTGTGGCAAGCCCACTCCTTTCGTGGTTGAAATCTCCAGACTTTGTGGCAACTGTACCCATTGGCTGGGAATGCTCACTAGAGCCACGATCAAAACCCGGATAGATCAAGGTTGGTATGGGATGGTCCCCGCCATAGGTGCGGGAATCCGCTCCTTTTGCGGCTTGACCATTGGGTACCCCCGCTCCCAGTTTGGTCCCGAAAAGGAACCCTGTTACTTCCTGGACCCGAGAAAGCCGCTACTAGTGCCTATTGGGATTGGGGGGGCGCATGACAATAGGATGATGGTTTCTCACTAGAGTTACGATCAACACCGGCAAGTGAAGGGTAGTAAGACCCAATCCCAACCATAAATAGGTGCAGGTGCCTTCTTAACTGGTTCTGGGGATCGACCATTGAAATACCGTTCGGTTTTGACTATGACATTGAGGGAGCCATGACCCAGCCAGCCAAAGAAATGGAGCTTTGAACATAGAGCAGGTTGTGTTACTTGGGCCAAAGAAACAGAGCTCAGGTTGGGAATGCTAAATGATTGTCACTCAGACCATGAGCCAAAATCAGAACCATGAGTACGATGTTGCTTTTCACCCAGATAGATGAAGATTAGTAAGGGATAGTCCCAGCCATGCGGGTTGTTCTAGGGGTTGATCCCCCATTCTTTTCAGCCATCGTTCTTTTCAAAAACTGATCGCCATTTCAACCCAGGTTTTTTTAAGGTGGTTTTCTAGAAAGATTCGGATCCCTGGAAAGAATGGAAATGGAAGTTGCCCCTAGAGTTGTGTGGCCAAGGGTCAAAATCCAAATCGTACCCCCAGACATCCCAATCCAACTACTGTAGGTTCTAAAATGGGTGGTGAATTCACCAACCAACCAAAATGGGATCCAAAACGGTTTTGACAATCACAGCCGTGTGACTCAACTTTCGGGTTTGGATGGTCAGGCGCTTGATGAAGCCGCCGCTGGTCCGCGAGACCTCGGCCTGGACCTTCGGCCGGGATCGCCTCACCGGGCTGGTGCCCTTCGGGAGATCAAAGCAGGAGGTCATGGAGAAGATCGTCCTGGAGGACCCAGGGGTTCACTCCGAACTCATCCGACAATTTCCCCCGAGTGGGCACCCGAACTTTGAACCAACCCACCCCTGGTACCCTTGTCTAGGAAGCAAAAGGAGGTTGTTTTGAAACAATAGCGCTTTAATTCAACGAGTCTTGACAAATTGGGTCGGGCCAACTTTGAGCTAAACTGTTTTTTGACAGGGGCGACCAGGGATGAGTCTGGCCGTGAGGACGAGCTGGCAGAGCGTTTGCAATGGACCACCAACTCCCTGGTCAATGCAAAGAAGAACGGCACGCCTTACAGGCGTGAAGTGAAGAAGCAGCATATGTCAGATGTGGAGTAGGTAGATCACGTTGATCTTGTCTTACGCCGTCTTGAATCTACCTCAACTACAAGTGAAACTTGACTTTAAAGCAATGAGGCAGACAAGTTGTGTCATTTCGGCAGCTGGCTCCACTATTTGGTTTCAGGGTGGGAGCAAGGCCTATGTTAAACACTTGCAACCAACCATGTTGGTAGAACCCAAAGTCAATGGGTGAAATGGGCGCTGCTCACTTGTGCGTCAAGATAGGGCCCAATGGCGATGGCATTTTTTGGCTTCCCTGTAAACCTATCAAGGGTCTCCCCCTTTGGAGCCGTTTTACTTCTTGAACCCAAAAGGAAGCCAGCCATTTTGTTGGGCCCCCTATGTTAAGACACCCTTTTACGACACCCATCTTATACGACATTCCAAGAGGGAGAATGCCCTATTTCAAGGGCTGATCTTTTTCGAACGGACGCCCAAAATATTTCTTTTCTTTTGCCCCCCTCTAAAACCACCGGTTCAACGGGTAAAAGACAGACCCCGGGCGCCAAGAAGGGAATCCGCTTCGAGGCATTTGCTGCTCCACGGGCCACCGGGCACCGGCAAGACTCTCTTCGCGCGGACGCTGGCTAAGGAGTCAGGCCGGGAAATCGGACAGTTCGATCCGCAGAGAAAGTACGGGTCGTTTTGTTGGTTTGGGGCCCCACCAAAATGGTTTTTGGTTTTCCTTTGGGTTTTTTTCTTGACCATCGGCAGAAATACAGTGGAGAAACTCCTGTTATTGCGCTGGTAGCTTATGAACCAGGTTTCATCCATCCCACCTGGTACATAAATTTGTCCATCCACAGTATAGGTCGTGACCTTTCTGGGTCGGCACCTCATTTTGTTGGTTGGCTTTTTCGGGGAGCCAACAACAAGAAAACAGTGTATATTTGTTGTTTGGGGGGTGGGTTACGCGGAAACCAAAAGGAACACCAAATATTGTCCATTTTGCAGGTCCAAATCCTAAAACACGGACACCCATATCATCCAAGTGCTTGCAAAACAGGACAGGTTGGCAATCGTGCGAGGCTCTCCAAAGAAGATATCCTCGAGATCAGTGGGATGAATTCAGGGTCCGTGTGACAGAGCAAGCCAGGTTGCATGTCCAACGGAACGGGATCTCAGCTTCCCCATAGTTGGCGGTTTGGATTGGTGGTTTGGTGGTGAAGAGATGGTTTTCCATTCAACAAGAACCAGAGGTCAAAATCCCCAACCAATCCAAACCGCCACTTGCGGGTTATCTGATCGATCGGAAGCGAGCTTGGCAGGTTTGGATTATGCCATCATGTCTGGTGGCGATGTAGGCCCACTGGGCAAAGACGCGGTGCGCCCGGCGCTGGTGTTTTTTTTGTTTGAGTCCGCCAGGGAGTGAGAGAGAGAGAACGGGAGAGAGAGAGCGTCCGCTGAGCCGCTGCTTGAATTGGGTGTGGCTCAAAAATGGGCCCAACATGGGTTACCCTGGCAAGTGGAAAAGCAGACAAACACCTGCGGTGCCCTAGGAAATCTCTCAAATCTTGAGCCACTCCCAATTGGGGCTTCGTAAAGGTTAATCCAAAGAGGGCTTCCTTTCCTTCAGTCCGAACTTGTGATCATACCTCTGATAACAGCACTTGTCAAACACGGCGGTTGTCTGTTTGAGGTTGGACCCAAGCCAATGAATTTCCCTTGTCAGACCAACCAAGGAGCGCTCTCGGAAAAAAAAAAAAAAGAAGAAGAAAGAAAAACACCCACCTCTGGGTGTGACTGCAGCCCTTGGCTCAATTTTTTTGTGTCTTCAGCCGTGACGCCATGCCGGGCACAATCCACGACCCCATCGGGGGCCAATCCAGAGCCGCCATTGCCGCCAAGCAATCCAAGCCGTGCCTCGCCGAATCCGCTCGTCCCCTTGAAGGGAGACGATGGAGACGATCTGAGATGTGGGCCCGTCTCTTTTTGAGCCACGGTGTCCGGTGCTTTGGTGGTTTGAAAGGAAGTGAACGTGTACAGTTGGGTGAAAGTTGTTGAGGGAAACCGAATGGAATTCAGTCAAATGAGTGTTCCCCTGTGAGTAAGGCCTATTTGTTCCACCAGGATGAAACTGCATGGTGAAATTATCCATTTGGGTTTAGTCATCCCTGTGCCGAAACAAGCACTGGGCTCACCGGTTGCGCTGAAATTACCTGGCTGCTTTAGTCCGCGAATCCGCGACATGTTAGCTCGGAGCAAATGCGGGCTGACGTGATATTTTTCTGTCTACTAACCTGGAACCCACCAAAGGGTCGAACTTGCAGGAAAATTGTCTTCCAGGATGCCGAAACATCAGGTTCCATGTTTGTGGAGCGGAGTGCATTTGTTGCAACACTTGCCATGCCCTCCATCCCTTTGCGGTTCTGAACACTCACTGTTCCGTTGTCTTGTTTTCTCCGGGGTTCATTCAGGTTGGTTTTTCCTTTTTTGCAAGCGTTTGGACCCCCCAAAACCGGAGTGTCACCTTTTGCGCGGGTTTGGCAGCCTTTTGGCTGCCCTGAACACCTCCCTCCCCAAAAGGGTAACCCCACCCCCCCCCCGCCCGCCCGCCATGAGCCTCCCATTGGGCTGAGGTTGGAGGAGTTTGCTGAGCGCACCAAGCGGGAGGCGGACGAGCGCAAGAAGACCCGGGAAGCGGAAGGGGGACGGGGCGGAGGCCCGGGATCGGCGATTCGCCGGCCCGGATCGGGAGGGAGAGCCCATTTGTGGGTCACCGGTCGTCCGGGATTTGGAAATCCCCTTGGTGTCTTGTGACTTTTTTTCTGAACTTGTTGGTGGTTTGACAAATCAGCTTTGGTTGCTACTTTCAGGCGAGTTTCCCTTTTGGTGATGTTCAAAAGGGAAATATAGGGAGCCCAAGCAGATTTGCACGGGTTGATTAATGTGGGGCCCTTTGCGTCCCTGGCTTTAGTAGGGAGACCACTTTTGGAGGGGAACAGCGATGTTAATTGGTAAAGGTGATTGATTTGGGGTCAACATTAGGAGTGAGTAGGGGGTTTCTCGATCAAAATGGGCCCGGCTCGTCAAAATAGGATGTGGAACCCAAACACTCGTGGTTAATGGTTGGCGTCCTTGGGGTTTCCCTTCAAATACCAACCAAAAAGGGGTCCACCATTTTGAGAAGCACTCGAATCGGCCACAGGATGGCCTGAAATGAATTAGGCAACCTCAAAAGTTGACTTCGCTTTGGTTCCGATTTGAAGCTGCTTTGAAGGTGGGCCTTCAAGAAGGCACGCTCCAAAGGCATGGCACTGTGGTCCGCCTCATTTAAAAGCCACCCAAGTGGTGTGGCCTGCGATTCACGCGCGTCACCTTCAAACCTTGACTCAGAAGAAGTCGCGGTTGACCAATTAATTAGGGTTTTTGGAAAACGTCTAAGCTGCATAATCTTTGCCTGACTGAAGGGCAGTAAGCATCACGAGCGCAAAAGTTGATTTCTCTTACTTGTCTTTGCAAAACCGCGTCGACTACGCGTCTTTGTCTCATTTGTTGCGACCCTCCACGGCAGGGGCCTTTCTGGTTTAAGACGTACGCCGTTTACGAAGCCGCATCCGACTTCCAAGCGCCTGGTTGACGAAGCGGCAGGCTACAACGACCGGCAGGAGGTGGACCGCCGCGCGCCTTCCCCAGAGGGCGGCTTTGATGACTTCGGGCGCCGGAAGTCGAAGGCGGACACCGGCAACGGCGGGTCCAAGGCGGAGCGCGCCAAGGCGGCGTTGGAGCGGCTGAAGCAGCGCCAGGCAAGGACCAAGGGTCAGTGGCCCAAGTCTCGGTTCGGGCGTGCCCGTCTTTAAAAAAGATAAGTGCTACTTGTTAATTATCACACATTCCGCTTTTTCCAATCTGAAACCACACCAGCCTTCATGAATTCTCACATCTCTCTCAATTTTGCTGGCGGGAGCCAGATCCCTTTTAAGATTAGACAGTGACAGTGGTAGAAATTGGAGGTGGAATGGCATGGGTCTTTGTTTATATCTCGCATACCATTGAATCGCGAGTCGACAAAGCGAGTGAACGGGCTCACATCCCGATCCCGTCTCTCAGTTCGGATTGGAACTCGCGGCGGAGGGACAGTTTGTAGATGGCATTTTTTTTAGAGGACCCGCAAAATAGCTTCGGCTTTCCTCTTTGGTTTACCGTTCGAGCGAATTACCAACTCCGAAGAAGACGAGCCACCCATTGGGCCCTTCAGGTGGACAAAGACACGAGATCTCGTAGCCGGAGCCGCGACCGGGACGGCCGGGACGGCCGGGACGGCCGGGATGGGCGGCGGGCGAAAGAGCCCAAGCCTCCGCCGCCGGGATTTCGACCCCGGGGGGCGAACCACCGCTTCTAGAGGCAGGCAGCCTCCGAAAATGGAATACATCAAAAAAAAAGAAAGAAGGCGACTCGGGCAGAGACGTGTGGCGAAAGGGCATGTTCCAGCTGGCAGAGAAAGCGCTTCGGGGACCTAGACTTGGCGGGGGATGTGGACGTGGCAATCTGAAGCGCAACTCGGGCCATGAGCCATGACGGAAGAGGCCTCGGTCTGTTTTGTTGAGACGCCAGAGATGCTAGCACTTACAGCCTGAAGGCATGTTTGTGCGAGCCCAAGAGACGCAGCGATTTGCCCGAAAAGAAACAGGCTGCAAGGGTCATGGTCAGAGCCATTGCATAAATGTGGATGCTGTTTGCACTGGAAATAAACGAATATGTGACTATGTGCATGTTGGCCGTTCTCGTGAGTCCAGAAGTAAACTTCTACGGTACACTTTGGCTCAAGCCTCGCTGAAGCATTGCATGTCAGGGCAGTCCATGAACTCCCACAATGCAAAGAGATCGGCACCTTCCATTCTATAGCGAGCCGAGAGATGTCTGTGGTTTGGTCATCCACGGCTTTGTCAGAAGCCTTGCGTCTTCCTGAGATGTGGCTTATGTCCGAGAGGATCTGACTGCAGCTACTGCCACATCAGCCACAAACTGACAGCCAGTTGACCTTGAAGCAGTGGAACAAATGCGCAAGCAAGGAGTGGTCATTACCTTGGCTGTGCCCGCCTTGGTCACCAAGGCGCCGGCACAAGATATCATGCATTCAGCAGCGTTTGGCTTCAAGCAGGCCAGACGCCGTCATTCCAGGCCACATCAAGGAACTTGACTCGATGCTCGGCCTCAAATTCAAGTCCCTACTTGAACTGTGCGAGTGCGACAGTCAGATTCAAGCCCTTGCTTTCTTATCGCGCGATCCAGACCATCCGCTCCAATCGGATGGGCGGTGTCTTTGAATAAACACCTGTGGGTCCTGGCAAGGCAAGTCCCGGATACGCAGAAGGCGTCTCCTCTCTCCGAGTTTTCTTGTGCACGACTGAGAGACCAAGATCTCTGGAGAGTGTCTATAAGCTTTCCATGCACTTGAGACTTGTTTTCACCAGCGCGCCTACAGCTAAAATGGTGAGAGTCACTGGACTCTAGCGGCGCTCAGAGCCCAGACTCCGGAAAGCCATGGGTTTGATCCCTGGCACGGAACCGGTTGAGCATCTGGTCGCAACCAAGCTTGGCGCCATTTGACTGTGCTTTAACGGCACTCTGGGTCCGAACCTTGCCAGGTTCATGAGCTGAACAAGCTCTTCCAGTGGGCCAACAAATCCCGGCCTTGCTCTTACACATAAAGAGAGAAGGTTTCATGAGCCAGCGAGCCAGCGAGCTTGATATGGAGAGATATTTCGCAAACCTTGGCAGCCCAGGAAAGGTCTGATCCTGTTCATCGATGAGGCCGGCAAATTGTGGTCAAATTCTGGAGCCTGCAAAAGGTGGGCCGCAATCAAATCCCAGGTAGATGATGAGTAAGGGATACTCCCAACCATAAATGAGTTCAGCCGCCTTGTAAATCTTTACCATGGTTGAAGGTCGACCATTCAATAATTACCCGGTTTTTATTATGACTCACTATCTACCGTTCGGTTCAGGGACTGCAATTTGGGACTAACTCCTATCGACAGGCTGATGCATTCCTGCGAACTGGCCGTGGCTCTGAGAGCGGATCGATGAGTGAAGAGGCCGATGGATGTGTAAAAGGACCATTTTTGTGCAGAAGAAATTCGTTTGGTCAGTTGATGCTTCCGCTTTAAGGATGAGATCAGCAAGCGTGAATCAAGTCCAGCAGTCTGAAACGCTAGGCGAGAAATACCCTCTCGGCCTTCCTGCATCACACTGGAACCGAGAGCGACAAGTGCCTTGGTCATGTTCGTTTGGATTCCACTCAAACTTGGATTGAATGAGGGTACTCTCTTTCCAACCATCATGGAAGTGCACGGGGCCTCCATGATTGTTGGAAATTGGGTACAAATTTCGAGGGGTGCGCTCGGAGAACCTAGAGTGCATAGGTTCGTGGTAGTGCTGGCCACCAACATTCGCGAGATCCTTGACAGAGCGGTGCTTGATCGCATGGTGCAAGCCTCAATCGGCTGCCGTCATAGGAGCTGCCGGAGGATGATTTCAGGGGATGTTGGGGTTTAGCACCTGTATACTGTGCCCGCATGAGTCTTTGGTCTCCCGAGCAACGATGTCCCGGATCAACTATTGAGCGTTTTTTTTCTTGAAATGAAGGTTTCCTCGCCCAGTCTGGACCTCCATTGTCGTACGTACAGCTTCCTTGAGTCAAAGCAGCCTGACCTGCAACCCAAAACTAAAAGCATCTTAGAGGAGTCTCTCTTAGAAAAAAACAAACAAACAAACAAACGCGGGACCCTTTTTTTAGGTTCCGGTTCCATTGACATATTGACATTTCCAGGGCGGCCATCCCACAGCAACATTTGTCCGAGGATGAAAGCTTCGAGTTCCCGCTGCCTAGCATCGAGGAGAGTTGGCTTTGCTTGTCTTTCGCTGGCTGAGACCCCGATGTTCTCAATCGGTGTCCTTGAGGTTCTTTTGCCTGCCCTGGGAGGCGAAAAGGAGGTGCTGAGGTACCCTCAAAAGACACCTACCCGGCGTCTTTTCTTTGGCACATGCTTCATAAGGCCAAATTCCTGGCATTGCAAAAATCCTGTGGAAGGTTCAATGCCGGTTTGGGTGGCATGAAAGAGTAAGCCCGTAAAATAACTTTGCAAAGACTACGCATGAAGCCCTGATGCGTGTGGCTCCCAGCTCGGAAGTTAACCCTCGGGACACAATATTTCAACCACGTAGTTGGGTTTTTCTCGCATGTTTTGAGTGTGTGTGTGTGTCAAAATAGGGGTCTCAAGTCATGGGCGGTTTCCTTTTAGCTTCCCTGTAGAGCCGGGTACTGTACCCTTAAAAAAGACACACTCCCTTGGTATTTCCTCGACTGTGGAGCGCCTGAGCAGAGGTACATGCGTCTTGGTCAGAGCATGAATGGGGTTGATGACAACATTGGAAAGGAAACCAGGCAGTTGAGTCTGTGCTCTCCTCGATGCTTTGGAGGATGGAGGTAGAAATGCATCCACTGCTTTGTCGCTTCGGCAACAACACCTTCCAAAAATTGGCCGGCCACGTGCCGCTCGGTTAAACAAATCAAACATTTCACGGGGGCACTCACTCGCTCACTCACTCATTTCCCCACATGAAAGTCGTGAAATTTTGACGGCTGAAACTTTTGCTTGCTTTTTGCAGGAGCGAAAGCGAATGCTTTCCATGTTCATGGAGGACCGGGACTTTGATCGAATTAACGCATCGATCAATGTGGGCATGTCGTCTTTTGAGGGAACCCGGGCTTAGTTTCCTGGTGGCCTCCCTTAATTTAAAAACAAGGACAGGAGTCGGAGGGAGGCCCCCACAAGAAAAGGAGCCAGACCCATGGGATTGATTTCCGGTCAGGAGCACATCCACAGGCCCACCAAGCGGGGCAAGGTCATCGAAGCCAGAGACCTGGACCATTCGAATACCAGGTTTTGATTATGGCTCACCTCACTTCGGAGAGAAGCGTTCTGAAACCGAAACTCGGAGTTGGATCCAACGAACGTGAGGGCTACGTTCCAACACTCGCCTAGAACTCACCAATGCAGGCGAGAATTTCGGGCTTGAGCCTTCAGCCACATGGATTTCGTGTGAACGAGAACGTTGCTCCGATTGAGGTAGACGAATCCGTGAATGATGCATGGCTGGAGGAGGCTCGTGCGATTGAGCACTCCTTTCTTCTGCGCAACATGTTTGTTTGTCTCAACTTGGCTGATCAACCGCATCCTTCCCACGTGACCAGGGCACCGTTTGGGACGACTAGACCCACCCTTCCAACCCCTCGAGCCGTCAGACGCACTGCTGCATTCAACCGAAACCTCGCGCCTGTCCGCAGCAGAGAGCTGGCTCTGAGAGTTTTCTCGGCGCCTGAAGCGCGCCTGACGCGCTTGCGATGGCTGTGTGCTCAGAACGTGTGCGATCGCAAGAGCGACTGACAGTCCACCTGGTTTCCTGAGCGCAAGAGGGAGAAAGGTCCATGAAAGGATGCTCCCTTGGAGTTGGCTGGCCACAGGAGCCAAGGAGTTGGTAATAAACCCGCAATTCAAGAATTCAATAGGGAGCTGGGGAGCCACAAAGAGGGGGAAACTACATTGGTGAGTTGGCTCATCCTCAGGCGCAGCTAATGGACAATCCGCACTTAGACCCCGTGGAGACATTTTCGCCCGCGTCTGAGCTGGCTGAAACCTTCTTGCCTTCCTGGCTGAGAGGTCAACATAGGTATGTGGGTATGGGTCAAAATTAACCCACCAGAAGACCACACGTTTTAGTCTTTGTTTCCGTCTACCAGGCTTCCATTTTGGGTGCCTATTTTTGACCCACACCCATGTGGCTCCCTGCCCCACACATGTGTGTTGGGTTTTTGGTTTGGTTTCCCTTCAAACCTATGGGACCTAGCCTCTTTGTTGGGAAGCTCTGCACGGGATGTCAAGCGTTTGAACTGGTTAGAGCGTTTGTGGATTTCTCATTTTGGTTCAACTGAGAGGCTTCGAAGACATGTCACGACAGCTGAAATGAATGTCAGCTGCAAATGCCCGACGATTTTGTGCCCTGCAGGTACTTGAGGCTCGTCAGCGCGGACGGCCATGAGTTCTTTCTAGACGCGACCTCAGTCTGAATAAAGAGACAAGTTCAGCATTTAGTCAAGGCAACTCACAAGGGGGGGGCACAATATGGTGCGCAAGTGTGTCTTCATTCTTCCCACGGTTTGCCGCACTGTGTGGGGAAGCTACTCAAGCAACTCAAACAATACTTCAGAGCGGCAATGTGAGGGACCATAAGACGCGGTCAGCAACACACTCAGACTCAGCTACACTAGTGCACCCCCTATTGCCCTATTACAATCCCTATTGCAGCCCTGCACCCCTATTACACTAGCAATACACTACGGCTCACGGTTTCCCTTGCCAAGCGGCTAGGACAGGCGAATTGCCTACGAGTGCGATACCTTCAAGAAGATGGTGGAGAAGGTGGGGTGGAGAGAGCGGCTGGATGTCAAAGGAAACTCTGACAGGAAAGTCATGAGAACTAACTTGTGTTTCCTTCTGTTGTTTTTTTTTGGGGGGATGTGATTTGTATGTTTAGTTTCCTGATCATGAGCGTTCAAAGAACACAAATTGTGACCGAAGCTCTTCGAGTTTTGTCCGGAAGGATGGCTTCAAAGAGGGGCAGACGAACGAGATTCAGCTTCCCACCATCACCGGCAAACTCCTTGAGAAGGCAGCGGAAACATGCATGCGCGGCAGTTGCACTTTCATGGACCCCCCCTATACCTCGACCTTAGGGATAGCCCCCCCATAGCCCACCCCCCCCCTGGGTCCACGAAATTTGAGCGAGAGGAGGGATCGATCTGTGACTTGGTTCCGGGTGCCAGGTGATTGAGTACCTGTACTTCAAGTACAAGTACACTGATGCCAAGGCGAGTGACACTTCCAGATCGTTGCCAAAGAAAGCGTGAAAATCATCCTTGTAGCTTCTCGTTTCTGTTTTTGAGATTGCAGGAATATGGCGCCGAGCACATTTGAATGCGGGCTATAGTGTACCTGGAGGACCCTTTGATACACAAACAAGTGCTCCAGACAGTTTTTGGCATTATGAGCGTTTTTTTCTTCTCAAATCCAATTCAATCACTTTTTGAGGTTGCCTAGATGCTTGGTGAAGTTCTCGAGAGAAAACGAACCCGCAACTCGAGCGCAATTTCCCGCTACTCGGGCGCAATTTTCCGCAACTCGGGCGCAATTCCAAAAAGTGTGCAAAGCCAAAGCTCCGCCCCGCAATCTGTGCGTTTGCATGTGTTTGCATTTACCGTTTCTCGCGCACTTATTTGCTACGAAAGCTCGAGCAAACATTTGTGTATCAATGGGTGCTGCAGGTACTACTGATATGTTCAGGCCGTCTTGAGTCAGACACCATCGCCGAACACAACATTTGATTGTCATGTTTGCAACATCGCAAATGCATGCGGAGCGTACCACCACATTTTATGGAGAGTTGCCGCTTCTTAAAAGCTTCTTAAATTCACGTTCAGCAGACGACACCTTCTCAATGATGAGTCAGCTGGAAGAAGAGCACTGTTGTTTCCATAATTTGTGAACCGGTTTCACGTATCATTGCGTATCCATCTCGTTTTTGTTCCAGATGCAGGTGCCTATCCCAGAGTTCCCGATCGATGACGACGTTGTGCTAGAGCCACGGATGCAATTGGTTGACCGGCCTCAACTCAAGGGCATGTGCGACTGCACCTGACCTGCTTCAGCAAACTTGATGCATGTTGTGACAGCCAATTTCGTTTGAGAATCCGTCTGGAGAAGCCAGTCCAAGGATTTGCTGCTCGTGGCGAATTACCTGAATTTGTACTGATTTCAGCAAACAGCCTGCAAGCTTCACGAGCACCAATCACGAAAGACACACTTTGCCCTTCATGCTGGCCAAAGATCCGACTATGGGTCAAAATTAAACCACTAGAACACCGCAGGTTTAGTCCTTATTTCCATTTACCAGGGTTCCTATTTTGGGCACACATTTTTGACCCACTGCCATTTGACGATACACACAACCAATGCACAGCCAGTGTTTCACCCCGCGCCTCGGCGCGGAGCGAGCTTGCGAAGTGTTGGCTCGTACCGAGAAAAAGGCTTTGGCGCATCTGAGACACTGGCAAACCTCATAGTCGCAATGGTGTCAGCTGCCCAGTCACACTGCAAGTGTCCAAATCCGCAAGCAAGTTGCCTTCTGCTATTCGATGTGATAGGTAGAACAGGAGCCTGTGGGCCTGTGTAACAATTTAGTTTGAGCCACAGATCCAGACATCACCGCCCCCCTTCCAAATGGGAGGGGGTGAATTCACGGAGATCTCCATTGGTTCCATCTTCCCCTCAAATGGCCATCCGGGACCCCCACCCCCAGGTAGGGGGACCCCAAGCGTGCAGGTGGCCAAAAGAACGGAGGGCTTCTCCGGCCGCCAGCTGGCGAAGTTGGTTTTGGCGTACCAGGCGCCGGGTGTTCTTCGCCCGCACCGCGCGCGCGTGTAGCGTGGATGGCGGAACAGGTTTTTATCGTTGCACCAGTTGATAGACTTCCTACTGACATGGAAAACCCGTGGGAGAGCGCCTGGAAGATAAGTTTGCTCTTGGAGGGACCCTCTGTCAGGTGCCATGGCAATGTGGGAAGGAGGGTAGGGGGTTTATCAACCCCAAGTGCAGGATTTTGTCCAACAGCGCTGGATGCCGATCTGAGGGAAACATTGCCTGGAAAAAAAAACTCCGGACACCCCTTCTGGTCAAGAGATCCTGTGCACGTTGCCATGCAACCTTGTTCGCTTCTATCTTTTCGGGCCCCCGGTCTCGAGAGAATTGGCGGCTGACAGGCCGCCGTGTTTGGTTCCGGCGCTCCGAGGCGCTGTGGGGAGTGTTTGGAAACTCTCGAATACGAAACTCCGGCTGACACGGCTGACAAGAGAAGGAAAAGCCAGTTTGAAGAGGGAAGCCACGTGCTGGGCGGTAGATGGCAGTGATTTCTTTTGAGGGGTTTGTCGGACATTCGTTACATACCCCATGAGAAACCAAACCCTATGTAGCAAGACCTGCCTACCTTCGTTACATATTTGCAAGCTGCCTCTCTGGTTGCATGCCCTCCGTCTTTCGTTGCTTACCCATACCCAGACTCTGAGTGATTTTACAAGGGTGCCTGCAGAGCAGACTTTTGCAGAGCCCTTGCTGGACATACCTGTGCAGAGTCAACTTGCAGAGATATTGCCTTTCAAAAGAACAAGCAACAGGTAGCAGTAGTAGCAGGGAGGCCCGGCAGAAGCTTCTTTCTGTTTTATACGTCCTTATATAGCTCGTTACATAGGCGTCACATACCTGGTTACACGCCAAATCCCAGCCGTCCAGCCACCCCTTTTTGCCGTCACCCAGCTTTCGCTGAGCAGCTGCAACGTTCGAGCTGGAGCAGTGACGGTGCGCTGTGCGTCCTGCACTTGTACTGAATAGTTGCCACTTGGAGCTGGAGCTGTGGAAATGTACGTTGTTGTGCTGTGCTACATTGTGCTGCTACTCGCGTGCTGAAGAGTTGCGACTTGCGAGCACTGTTTTCCCGTTACACACTTTCGTAGCAAGGACCCCCGTTACATACCTCCCTAACACCGTCGCAACGCGCGTTACATGGCATCAAAAGAACACACCCAATGGGTGTGTCTTTTTAAAGGAGCCCCAAAACTGTGGTTTTCCCTCTTGCTTTCGTTTCAAACCAAAAAAGAAGGGGAACCCTTAACAATCCGACTCCCCCAAGTGAGAAATCCTCAGACTCCAACGATCTCTTGACAGGTTAAGCCTCGGCCTGGCCGAGACGGTTTTGCAGTACAAGCTGATGCACAGGGAGGAGAGCCACATGGTGTTGATCAAACAATTTTATGTTCGGCCCCCAAAGGACCATGGTTTACTTTTCCCATGTGGGAAAAAGCATCTTTTTAGTGGTCATCCCGCTACAGGACCTTTTGATCAACCCGCACATGCCAATCAAGTGAAGCTCCTTTTGCCACATGCCGACGTTTGATGAGGGACTGTTGTATCCATACAGGTAAGAATGATGAACTTTTTTGCACTGGCCCTCATCAAGGTGACTGTTGGGGGAAAGAGCTTTTTGGTCATGTCCAAGTCGCAACGCAGCTGCTTTGGGCTCAAACAAGCTCAAGAAAGCTCTAGACTACTAGGCACACGGATTTGTCAGACCAGGCTTGCTTCATTTGGTGATGCCAAAATATGTTCTTTCAGGTAGAGGTGTTGACACGAAGGGAGTGCAATGTAAGTTTACCACATGTGCATTTTGTCATCAAAGTCATAGTCCAGCACTGGACATTAAAGTACAGCTTGGATTGAGTTTGTGCTTGTGGGAAGCATGGAACATCTCATGTGAACTTTTTGTCACAGTCTTTGAAGAGGGGGTGCTTCCGACTCCAATTGATTGGATTCCTTCCTTTAATCGACGCACTTGAACGCGGCGCCTGGATGCCCGACGCCCCATGCTGGCCACCGTACACCAGCATTTGAAGCACAGGCCAGAGAGTCAGGGGAAGATACGCGGCCGTGGGTCAAAACCAATGGTACCATTTTGGGGTAGGTGCACCACCCATGTTAGTCCATTTTAGTGGGGATTGGGATGTTCACTGGGTGGATGAAAGCTAGCTAAGGTCCAGAAATTCCACTCCCGCAATACCTGCGCTAGTTGCTTGGATCTTAGGACTTTATAGCTTTTTGGGAAACAGGGGATTGTCCATCGGACCCACAAAAAGTTAAGCTTTTCGCAGAGGGGTCAACAGCAACCAAGGTAACCAAGGTAAGGGGGTATTTTTTCCTTGGCGGAGTTTTGAGGATGTCACTTGAATGAACCCAGAGGAGAGACCGGTCTCTTGGATTGACGAACCTGCCAGTGAAGCCCTCTCCGTCCTCGCGGCGCACTTTGGACAAGTCGACGTGCACCTACAGGAGGCACCTCGGTTGGCCCGGTGTGTTGGGGTTGATTCCTTGTTCGTTCTTTTCAGCCATTGTTCTTTTTGTGTCAACAATAGATCGCCCCATCGGTTCCAGGGTTCTGTTTTCCCGTTCAATTTCAGAAAAACTGATCGCCATTTCCTTGGGATGTTAAAGGTGGTCGAGAAAGAAGGAGTTTTCCCCAGGGTGGTTAAGGTGATTTTCTGAAAAGGACACCGACGCCGTTTCCTTTGGGTTTTGAAGGTGGTTGTCTAGAAAGAAGGATTCCTGGAAAAAATGGGGAAGCTACCCCTAGAGTTGTAATGCAAACCCATTCTCCTGCCAGGATTTGGCCAACTGCGGAGTTCTCGCAGTCCGACTTCCTTGCAAGGCGTGCGTGAGAGAAGAAAACTTGGGTGGGTTTTCCATTATGTTGGAGGGTGCCTTTTGAAGGAGAGTTAAAGATGTTAAGGGTGCCCGCATTTGGGTGCGTGGGTGCCAACTTTTGGTTGGTTTCAAAGGGAAGCCAAAAGGACAACTGCCATGGTAGTAGGTCCCCTAACAATGGCACTCATGTTTGAGACAGACCTGACAGACCTGAGCATTTCTCAGGCCGAAATTTGGCTGGACGTCGACTTGCCACAGCCAGCCAAGTCGGCCGGCCTTAAGGCAGGTGACCGAAGCGTTTGGTGAGTCTTGATCGAGGGATTGGATTTGGAAGGGACACTGAGTGGAACCAGTTTCTTGGAACCGGTTCATACGAGACCCGACCAGGCTTCTCTGCAGAGAAACCAACAGGTTGTTTGAACAACCGGGAGATTGACAAATAGCGGCAAGAACCGAAGGTTGTTTAATTTAAACCAAGGCTGTTTGAACCCTAGGCTACTCATTTTGGGGTTCCCCAAAGACACACCCATGTTTGAGCCGGCCATATTTGTAGTGCCAGCCTTCAGGGTTTTCCTACTACACGGCATTGCGCCCTTACAGGAATCACTTTGGGATTATTTTTGGTAACTTCCGGGTATAATCCCCAGTAGGAAAATCCTTAGATAGCCACTGGCTCGCAGCATGGCTCGATGGCGCTTAGCTCTGGTGGCCTTCGTGTCTTGGACATGGCTCTTCAGTCTGCCACGAATTGAGACGCCGAAGCCGGCGAATCGGAATCCGGATCCGGCGGCAAAGGCGCAGGCGGGACCGCAGGACCTGTTGGCCCTTGGACTGCCTTCTTGGAATGGGCCCCAAGCGCAAGCTTCCTTTTGGAAGTAGGCTCTTGCAAAGCGGGGAGAAATGCATGGGATTTAAAAGCAGGTTCCTCCTCTTGGTGCCGTGTTTTTGCCCACAAACTATAGCTAGTCTCGTTGCTTAGTTGGGTTGGCTTCTGGGGGTTACCCCGGTTCCTTTGAAGCCAAATTCCCTCAAACAGGGTTTCGTTTGTTGACAGACTTTAACCCAGTGATTGATTTTGCGGAACCGCCTGAGTTTAAGTCTACCCAAAGCAGTCCAAAAGTCTGAGCCCTACCGGCCCCCGGGTCGCCAAATTGGGGGGTGCGCTCGCCTAGGTGGTGATTTGTGGCTTGGGCCCGGGAAGTGCTCAGCACCTCACGCGCGCGGTGTGGGCGGAGATCCAAAGCGCCCCGGAAGTCTTCGCCCGCATTCCCCACCCCGCGCTGAGCGGCATCTCGAAGGCGGGAGAAGGGGGGGGGTGGTGGTGGGGTGGTGGGTGGGGGGTGGTGGGGGGTGGTGGGATGGTGGGTGGGTGGTGCGGGGTGGTGGGATGGTGGGGTGGTGGGGAGGTGGGGTGGTGGCGTGGTGGGGTGGTGGGGCGGAGGGTAGGCGTTGTGTTTTTTTCGGGTTTTTCAACGACGCTGAAACAAGTTGGGTGGTGTTTGGTTGGATTTTGTTTGCTGGTTAGTTTCACAGGACACCGAGGAACGGTCCAAGTTGGACACATGGTTAGGTGGGTTGGGACTCGTTCCAAAGGCGAACCCAACGATCCGGATCTTGCCAGAAAATTGGCACATGCCATACCTTTTGAACATACCCCAGCCACCCCATGATGATTCCTTTCATTTGGGTATGCTGAAAAGGTATGTTGGAGGGTTCTTGGAGTTGATTCCTTCTCCATGCTTTTCAACAATGCTTCTTCTGAGTTCTTCTCTCCAAAATCAGCCACGGCGGATTTGTCCAAAGTGATATCCTTAGCGCTCAAGCTTAAAACCACCTGACGGCACCCATTTTTATTAACCACCCGAAATCCACCAAAACTGCCACTACTTCAAACGGGGTTCCCGTTTGGGCGCGTGTTTTTCTGGGCCGACAGTGACTCAGGTAGCCCTTGCCTCTTTTGGTTTGAAGTTTGGATTTGAACCCCTGGTTCTTGTTGGCACATGGGAAAATTCCAAACCAGGCTTCAACCCCAATATTGTATTAGAACCGTTAGTAGCACTAGTGTTACTATTATTATTATTGTTATTGTTATTGTTACGTATTATTAATATTATCATTGTTTATATTATTAGTATTATTGCTTCTGATTGTTATTATTACTACCATTATTATTTATTTATTGATTATTATTATTTATTTATTATTTATTTATTAGTTATTTATTATTTGTTATTATTATGTATTATTATTAAATTTTAGTTATTAAATATTATTATTATTATTAATTATCAATTATCAATTATTAATTATGATTACTACTTATTATTATTGTACGTATTATGCATTATTATTCTTACTTAGTATTATCATTGTTATCATTGTGTATTGTTATTTCCATTCGGTTTCTTATTCCCCTATTTACTATTATTATCATTTTGATATTCGATTTTACTATATATGTATATAATGATTATGTTTATGATTATGATTCTTAGAATTTTCGTATTTTTGTGTTTGGGGAGGGGACCCCTTTGCTTTCAGGTAACCCTTAGTCGGTGGTTTGGATTGGTTTGACGTTGGTTTCGGACCCCGGGTTCTTGTGGGTAAATGGGATTCGACTCCGCGCCCCGGAACACCTAGCCAATCCAAGGCACGTGCGTTTTCTTGTGAGGAAGCCCTTTTTGGGTGTGTCGTTTTTTGGGGACCCCTGAAAATGATGGGTTTTCTCTTGGTTTCCCCCTTAAGACACCAAAAAAGGGGTACCCTCAACAAAGACACCCTTTTTCAGCTTCCACTCAGACTGGTGGTTTGGAGCCCGGCGGTTTGGTGGTGTTCCGGGTGGTTCCATACCACCAAGTAAGGGTAAGGTGACTGTTGGCGAAGTTTCGCGCAACCGACTTGGACGCCGTTGCCATTGTTGCGGTGCTGATTCGTATTTTCAGTCCGCCATCCCCACTTCGAGGGCCGCGATGAGGTGGCTATGGGTCAAAACCCAAATTGTACCCCCAGTGAACATCCCAATCTCCACAAAATTTAAAACAGGGTGGTGCTACCCCAAAATGGTACCATTGGTGTTGACATGTCACCCACGGCCAGGTCACGACCTTCGAGAGCTTCTACGAGGCGGAGAGCTACGAGGACGTCTACGGTTCGATCTCCGAGCGCGTGCTGAGGTTGACGGAAGAGCGCGACAGGGTGGTCTACTTGGCTCCCCGGCTCCGAGAAAAGCCACAAAGGCGCAGCCAAGAAGACAGAACACTTCTTGTTTTGCCTCGCGATTTTTCGTTTTTTCCTGGCGATGTGTTTGTCGCCTTTCTTTGGTTGGAAGCTGTTTCAAGAGGCATTGTTTGAGGGGAATCGGAGCCTTTCTCGGGTTCCATGTTACTTGGCAGAAAAGTAGGCGTTTTGCATCTGTCATTGAGAATGGGGGGTAGCAACCGCAACAAGTTTTCCTGCTTCAGTTGTCTTTGTTGCTTGGTTTCTATGGCCACCCCAAAGATGGTGTTCATGGAGGCTCCAGGAGTCAATTTAGGGAGTGAAGAGGTTGATTTCGCCCTTTGTTTGGCTTTTCAAGAAGGATTAGCCCCAAGGCTTCTTGGGTGCTCAAGCATTGAGGAAGTGGTACCCAATTTCCAAGATGCAGTGGTTCACCTTGGCGAAACGTGTCAGTTTTAACCAGATCCTTTGCGTCTTGGTCTGCATCCTAGAAAAATGTACTCCCAAATCCTCCAGATCCTCCCACAGAGACCCTTGTTTGTCGCGCATGCTTTTGCTTTGTCTCTCTTTTTTGAATGTACGTCCCCCAGAGAAATTGGGATTCTGAGGTGCCAGGAGATCCCTGGGTGGCCGAGACCACCACCAAGCTGATCCTGGAGAAGGCCGCCGACCGCAACATCTCCGTGGAGGCCGACCAGGTTGATACATAGATGGATAGATAGATAGATAGATAGATAGATAGATAGGTGAAGCCTATGTGGGTCAGAATTTTTATGAGAGCATGCCTCTTTTGTGGTTTAAAAGGGAAACCAAAAGAAAGAGACCGAAGCCATTTTGGTGGGTCCGATTCCCGGAAAGAAAAAAGGACACCCACATAAAAACCCGCCAAAAAACACACAAAAAAACACCTGCTAGACCCCAAAAAGCTCCGCTGGTGTCTTGGGCTGTGAGCAAAGTCAGCGCTCAGCGCACCCCGTGTGGAGCGAGGTGCTGCCTGGGGTGAGCTTCGTGGAGCCCACGCTGGCGGCGCTGCAGCTGGATCTGCTGCCGCGCTTGACCGTGGGGGATGCGCGCCACGGACGGATTCGGTTTTCAGCGAGCGAGTCGGATCCGGATGGTGGTCTGGGTTTGGGTTGGACGCCTTGGTGTAAAGAGATTTATACTGGAGACATATTTCTCCCTGAAAGTGGTTGATTTTTTGTTTGTTGGTATTCTGGTTGATGGCTTTGGGCTTTGGGCGTGTTTACAGGGGAACTGAAAGCACGTTCAAAAGACTCGGCCCACTCTGGAGTGGTTCCAGTTTGACGGGTTCTCAAAAAATTGCTTCGGGGTCGTAGTGGTTTCATCTATGCGACCGAGTAACTTTGAGGGTTTTTGATGGACTCAACTTGAGGCCTTGCTTGCGTCTCGTTTTGAGCGTTCTCATGACTATTGACCGCAGGGTCAACCTGTTGGGTTTCCCGGGGCATATCAAATCAGCGTTCCATTCTTGGACTAGCCCAAAGTAGACCTAAACCCAGGCGCTGTTGATTTCCGCGAAAGGAAGAGCTTTGGGTTCAAGTCTACCTTTGGAGTACTCCAAAAATGGAACCCTGTTATGCAATAGCCCGGCCGAAAGGGACAGACAACCGCGGCATTTTGACTTCAAAAGACACCGACAATCCCATACATAGCCCAATACGCAGCATCATTGGTTCGCTTAGGAATGCGGGTGTGTCTTTTGCAGAGGACCCAAAATTGTGGTTTTCTGTTGGTCTCCTTTCAAAATCATACAAAAAGGGGTACCCTAGAAAAAGACACCCCCGCCTTTCGCGCTTCGCAATTAAGGGCCAGCAGGGTTTACTTTCATTCCAACCAGAAAAAGGGTATCCCAAAAAAGACACACCCATCTTGTTTCTGTTGTCACCATTGACAGCAACATCATCACCATTCTGATGAGTCGTATAAAGAGAAGACATGACTGATAGCCCTCCCAACATGGGTAGTTTCATTTTGGTTTCCATTTAGATTCAAAACCAGGTTGGTAGCCTCAAAACAGACGAGCCACCCATATTTTTCTCTATTGG